CGGGAAAAACCTTTTCGTAAAGAATGCAAAGAAAGAAAGGAGTGAAGATGGTAGAGAATGGTACGTAGAAACTAATGTAGAGTACAATCTGAAAAAGAAAAGGATGACGAAGGAATCAGCTTAGAGAGGGAATGGTAAAGATTATGCACATTACAGAAGAAGAAGAAGAAGAAGAAGAAGAAGAAGAAATCTATTGAGGATAGATAGATAGATAGATAGATAGATAGATAGATAGATAGGGAGAGAGAGAGAACAATAATGGCACGTCAAAGAGGGAAAAGTCTAGAAGAAAATAAAAAAAGAGAATATAGAGATAAGCAAACACTCTGAAAATACAGAGAAGAGAAAAGAAAATACCTCATTTTGTTTTTCATATAACACGCATTCTTTCATAAAAGATACCCAACCTGCGTCCTATAAATCGAAAGTCTTTGACGGGAGATAACTTCTCTTCTAATTACTACATTCTAAATAGTTACTATAAACTTGGTACTTCTACTCGGTCTGTGATTAATCTATCATGAGTAAGGTTTTTTTTATGCTGAGATATGCTGCTGTGGATAAAACTGGGAATTGTGTGGGTGGGGAATGCTATGAAGTACAAGGAAAAAACATTCATTTCTGATTTCTTCCTTGAAAATTTTTGGGCTAAGTCTAATGCATCGGGACGTCTTAGTAGCAGCGGAATATGGTAAGTCTTTGAGAACGAAAAAACCGGAGAACTAAATAGTAGGTTGGTAAAATGGTTTAGGAAAACGATGGAATGAGAAAACGGGTGGGAAAAAAAAAGGTTTTACAAAAAAAAAACAAAGCAAAACTTTGCTTAAGGAAAGTAGTTTGGTGAATGAAAAAAAAACAGTTTGTTTAAAAAGAAGACAACGTTCTCATGAAAGTTTAGAGAGTGAGAGAGAGAGGTAGAGTAATAATAAAATGCCAGAAATAAAAGGGGTCTAAAAGAAAAGAAAAAAAGGAAGAGCATATCAAAAAGTTAGAAAGCTATAGACGGAGTAAAAAATGAGAAGGAATGATAATGATGGCAGTGAGCGAAAACGAGGCTGAATGCAAAATAAAGAAGCGAAAAGAGGAAAATAAAGAGAGAATTTAAGAAAGAGAGAAAGAGACCATTAACAGAAGGTCTGAGTGGAAAAAGGTCTAAAAGAAAAGAAAAAAGAGAGAGGATACTAAAAAGTCAGAAAGATTTCGAGGAAGAAGGAAATTCGAAGGAACGATAAAGATGGCAGATTTGCGAGCGAAAACGAGGCTGAATTTAAAGAAAAGTGAAAAGAGGAAAATAAAGAATGATTTTAAAAGAGAGAGAGAGAGAGCAATAATAGAAGTTAAGAGTGGAAAACAGTCTAAAAGAAAAGAAGAGAGAAGATAGTAAAAAGTTAGAAAGCTTTCGAGGAAGAAAGAAATTAAAAGGAACGATAATGATGTCAGATTTGCGAGCGAAAACGAGGCTGAATTTAAAGAAAAGTGAAAAGAGGAAAATAAAGAATGATTTTAAAAGAGAGAGAGAGAGAGCAATAATAGAAGTTAAGAGTGGAAAACAGTCTAAAAGAAAAGAAGAGAGAAGATAGTAAAAAGTTAGAAAGCTTTCGAGGAAGAAAGAAATTAAAAGGAACGATAATGATGTCAGATTTGCGAGCGAAAACGAGGCTGAATGAGGTGAATAGAGGAAAATAAATAAAGATTTTGAAGGAGACATCTTACTTATTATAAAACGCAGATTGTGTGTGTGTGTGTGTGTGTGTGTGTGTGTGTGTGTGTGTGTGTGTGTGTGTGTGTGTGTGTGTGTGTTATATATTGGATCGGATTTCCTACATTTTTCAACCGATTTCAACAAAAATTCACAGGACTACGTAAAATTACCTTGCGGTGGTTCTGACAACGCCAAAAATTGAAAAAACACAATTGTTTTTGCACAAAACAATTTGAAAACACGATTCTGTCGCCAGAATGAAAGGGGGGGCAACTCATATCGAGTTATACTTATTATAAAACCCAGGTTGTGTGTGTGTGTGTGTGTGTGTGTGTGTGTGTGTGTGTGTGTGTGTGTGTGTGTGTGTGTGTTCGTTTATATATGGGATCGGATTTCCTGCATTTTTCAACCGATTTCAACAAAACTTCACTTTTTTGGCAGGTAGTGTTTCTTATTGTCTTGCACACTTTTTTCTTTATTTTTACATTCAGAATGCTTTAAAAATTCCATTTACACGACTGTTGTTTATAATAAAATTCTATTCAATCGATAGAGTCATAACGATTGAAAACAATGTTTTTGTTTGAGTTTGGGTTTGACCAATTCGTAAAAAAAAAAACAAAAAAAATCTAATTAAGACATGCGTATCCGTCAACCTTAAACAGTAATCTTTGTCAATTTTTATTTTTCAGTCTTTATGATGGTCGATACTTGATCTATCTCTTACTGTTACATCCCCGGGCAACGCCGGGCTCTCCTGCTAGTAGTGAATAAAATGGAGGTCAAAATAGCAGCTAAAGAAGTCGAAGTAAAATAAAAAATAAAAGCAAGAGAAAAAAACTGTAAATAGCTAGATTTGGAATTAAAAGCTATCTTAAGTGAAGGGGTTCACGCTCACAAATTAATTGATCTAACTTTTCTTGTATCTCTGAAAAGAATAGACCCCCCTTTTCCCAGACTTCCGGTTTTGCTTGTTTTGTTTTTTTTTTTCGTCGAGGGATTCCCCCCCTCCTTAACTGACTATTATTACTCTCGCTATTTTTCTTCCTTTGACAAACTATACACTATGTTGAACCAAGCTTTTATCTTCTAAGCCTCTTCTCTCTGATCAACCTAACATTTCATTTTGGCTAGCCTTCTCCTTCTTAAATGTTTGCGATCTATTTAAGAGCAACCTGTCTTCATTCCTATCGCTGTTTTGACCTCTCTAACATCGTTTAAAACTTTTCAGAACGTCTTTCTCTCATAAGACAAGTCTTTCTCTTTGACTTATTATTATGGTTCTCGGGCATATTCTCTCTGCAAAAACTCGGTTCACTCTTTACAATGTATTTATTATCTAAATCCCTTTCTCCTCCCCGCCGGATCAAAGTGAATGTCATTAATCTCGCTTTATTCCCCACGTTTAAAACCGTTCACTTTCATTAAACGGACATCATTTTATATTTCTAATCCTGCTATCTACCATTATTAGTGATAATATTCCCCACCCCTTTGACAAAGCCTACAAATTGTTGAGCTAAGCATTTATCCCTATCTATAAAAGGCAGGATCTCTGTGTGTGTGTGTGTGTGTGTGTGTGTGTGTGTGTGTGTGTGTGTGTGTGTAACGAATGCACGGCCGCAATTTTCCACGGATTTGCACCAAAATTTACATGCACATGCTCTAAGTTTCCTAACTCCCATCGATAGTGGAAATAATCGATTTTTTCATGCTTTCTACGGCAGTTTTCATGTAGTTTACGGCCATATTCTACAAGGCCAGAGTGAGAGCTTATAGCTGGCTGCCACGAATAGGCAGGAAGATTCTATTGGCCAGCGTGACAGCCAACAGCTGCCTGACACGAATGTTAACTAGCATGCTAGCATGCAAAAAGATCGATAGATGCATTCGTCACAAGTGGGAAATCTGTAAATCTGCATGGCACTTTACTCCAATTGGCCCATTCGCTTGCTTAAACACAACGTTTATTCTGATTCCGCTGAACTGGGTTGGATGGGAAAAAGTATTTGTTGTTAACATTCTTTTTTCATTCAGTTTTTCCAGTTACGAGTCCTTTTTTAAAGCTGATCGTTTTGTGTTCATTTTGTTTAGTTCTTTTTTCGTAACAGATTTAATGTTTAGTATAGAGCTTAGAAAAAATTCGCAGTGTGAGATAGGCAAGAAGTAAGGCATGCAGCAACATCAGCACGGCAAAGGGCACTCCTTTAAAGGCAAGGAAGGTCAAAAATTTAAAGTCAAGTGATAGCGATTGCTGTATGAGTCGTATGATTTTTGAATCAAGCACAGGCAACGCCGGGCCATGCTGCTAGTATACTATAAATATGTATTGATTGTAATCTATATCTATAATTCTCAAAATGTTTGTATGTATGTATGTGTGTGTGATCGGATGTAGTTTATGCCTTTCCACAGTTTCCATCCGATTTCGATTAATTTTCTTTTGTTTCATAGGTAATTCTTCAGTGTCGGTTCTGAGTCCAAATTCTTTGGAAAAAAATTACAACCTTGAAGGTAAAAATTCGAAAAAACTGATTTTTTACACTTTGCGCAAAAATCAAAAGGAAAAATTTAATGCCTGTAAAAAAACAGCGTACAATCAATTTAGAAAGTTGAAATCTAACGCAGAAGATTATTAGAATTATAAAAAAAGAAATTTTATTATAAATACAAATTATCGTATATCATTATTATGGCGGCATATGGAAGAGGTTCCTTTCTTGCAAGATTGAGAACGCAAAAACGGCCCGTTTCAGTCCCCACTTCAAATTGTTTACCCCACACCTAGGCAAGAAGTAAGGCATGTAGCAACATCGGCACGGCAAAGGGCACTCCTTTAAAGGCAAGGAAGGGCAAAAATATTTTAAGTCAAGTGATAGCGATTGCTGTATGATTCGTACGATTTTTGGATCAAGCACGGGCAACGCCGGGCCATGCTGCTAGTCTTCTAAACCTCTTCTTTCTCACCAATCTACCGTTTTGTTTTCGCATGTATTTTCCCTCTTAAAGATTTGTCGCCTGTTTATTTGACAGTTCTACCATTTTTCCATCTTAATCATTTGTCGTCTGTTTATCTCGTCAATTTTCAAGTCTGGTTAAAGACGTTACGGAGCTTCAAGAAAATCCAGATCAAAGAATTTGTCAGGGAGAACCTATACAAAAAGTAACTAACTCACCCGGCATATTAAATTGGTCACATACCTTTCATATTAGTGGAAAAGCGTGTGTAATAATGTGACGTTGTTGAGAATAAGTTAATTGTTTAATTTCACCAAATAAGGCAATAAAGCCACTAAGATGCAGTGGGATACTGAGTTTTAGAGAATATAAGAAAGAAACACTATTAAATCGAGAGAAGAATAAAAGAACAGGAATTAAGAAGACAGAAGATAACGATTGACATTGCATTTAAAATTTTAAAGATCAAGGTTGACTGGACAGCAAGAAGCCGGAAGAGGGATCCACAAGCGAGAAATCCAATAGAGAATTTGTTGGCATAGAAATTACGGTTACATCTAGCCATTTCGACTGTAAAATCATGAGACCTCTCCGCCAATTCAGTACTGCACTTAAATTTACAAAGTCTATGTACCATAGAAGAAAGTCTTATTTATTTCTGTTATTTTATAGAAAGGCCGGCACAAGGCCAAAAGGGTGATGGGGGAATGCTGTTCTTTATCCATTTATAGTTAAACATAGCCAACCACAATCACTGACCCAAATATGCCACAATAATCCTTAAACCAAAACAATACATTCTTACTTACCATTTCTACTATAGTTACAATAATACCTCAGCGCTTCAATGAAGTCCTCACAAGTGTCATGAAGGAAAGTTCATCAGAACAATTACCATGAAAACATTTATAGAAAATGTACAGAGACTACGTTCTAGTGGTAGGAAAGTTAGTGAGAGCGATATTCCAGGTCAGTACCAGTAACAACAGCTTACAATATAGAAGCTGTTAAGAAAGATTATTTAAAGAAAGTACAGGGCTACAGAGAAGAAAAGAGGGAGTAATTGCTCTTGGTTGGATAGATAGAAACGACGAAGAAAGATATAAACAGATTAAACATGGTTTTAACAAGAAAAGAAGAAATTGAAGTCCCTGACTGGGGGATTAGTGGCTTTGATGAACAAGGAATCATCTCTTAATTTCTATAGTTCCCAGGTCCGCCCTGACCTGGAGTGGTGGCACTTGTTAAGGGTCCCAGCTCTTGGCAAATAGTGAAACACCCAAACAAAAATCAAAACTCAAGGAAAAGATAAAAATAGATTTTTACAGTAAAGATGGCGGATTTGTGAGCGAAAACGTGGCTGAATGTGAAGAAAGAAGTGAAAAAAGAGAGAAAGATCAATAATAGAAGGTCTGAGGGGGGGAAAAGGTCTAAACGAAAAGAAAAAAAAGTGAGGGGATGGTAACAATGGCTTACAATATAGAAGCCGTTAAGAAACATTATTTAAAGAATGTACAGGGCCACAGAGAAGAAAAGCAGGGGTAATTGCTCTTGATTGACTCGATAGAAGTGAAGAAGAAAGATATAAAAAAAAAGATTGAGTGAAACAGGGCGTTTTCTGAAAGATAATTAAAACAATGAGAGGAATAAAGATAGGTTGTTATTAAATCGAACACAAAATCTTTGGGAGGAAGATGGTCAAAACAAAATAGAATGAAGAGAAAAAGCTTTGAAGTTAAAACCCTTGTTCAACGGATTTAAGGCTTATATCAAAGGGTGAAAATAGCAACACTATTAACTGTAATTCAAGAAGGTATAACAAAAATCGAAGTATTGCTCAAGTCAAACGTGAGAACAAGATAGCACAGCGTGTTGCTCTCCAGGAGATAGAGCTCTTATTATATTACTGGTGCTTTAAATAAATGAGGCTTAGAAGAGATATATAGAAAAATACTCAATGAGAGCAAACGGTTTAAGAATGAGAATAGAGAGTAGGAATGTAGATTGGCGAGTGAGAAATCTTTTTGGAGAAAAACCCGAAGAGTCCGAACGTTTAAGTATAGACAATGTAACACCATTGTCTCTACTTAAACGTTCGAAGAAAGAAAATCTCTGCCAATGATATTAAGATGTTGAATAAAAATAAATCTATAAGAGGTAAAAAAAACAGCTGGTTAAAAGGGACAGGGTTTGTCGAAACGGAAGAGAAGCAAGTTGAAATGGAGCACAAGAAAAGGATTAAAAGATGAAACGAAAAGTCTGGGGAAAGAGCTCACAAAGTTCAAGAAAATGAAACGAAATGACAAGGCCGCAAAGCCACCAAGACTCAAGAGGTTTACTAAATGTGAATGAATACGAAAAAAAAAAGAAAGATTAAAAATTGCCTAGCACGAAACAGTGAATCAAATTTCTGTGCAGCGACCCAAGCAGTGGATTCAATATCGTCTTTCCACTTCATGTCAATCGAGAATGTTTGCCCGAGTAGGCGCATCGTGTCATTTTCCTGGAGGTTAGCATCAGCCATGTAGATGGCAGGCAGAAAGAGGCCTGGTTAAATAGAGAACACATCTTTCAGCAAGAAAAACAAAAAGTGCGATAACACAATGCGATCTAATAGAAGAGGCTTTGAATATGAAACCAAAAGTCTACTTAAAAGGATGCGTAGTGTAAAGTGAGGATAAAGGTTAGTGGAAAATCATCGCAATATGGTGGTTAAATAGAATGCAATGTTTTTTTTTTTTAAAAAACGTTAGATGAAAAAATAGTGCAATGATATTACATTGTTATGAAAGGCTTACAAGGCAAAAACGATAGATGACGGTATACGAAAGAATGTAGAAAGATTGAAACAAAAGGTCGAAGGTGAAGGGTTATTAAAAAGAGACTTCGACAAAAAATATGAAAGACAGGTTAAGGGGGAACACGAAGTTTTTCCAAAAGATAATCGAATGGGGAGTAAGTTGGTAAGAGAGAAGAGCCTTTGGAATGGCACCCAAAAATGCAGAGGGATTTAAGAAACCTCAAAGCTTTTAAACAAAAGAAGTAAACGAAAAGCGAAAAGGCGAAAGAATAAAGAAAAACTAATTAAAACTGTTTAAAGACGACACAGTAGTAATAGAAGTATTAACAGTTTCCTTATTGACATTGAATATTTACTTGTAGGGATACAAACCTGACGGCCGGTGAATGACGTCAGGAGATTAGAGTGACGAACTAGAGTAGTGATGTAAGTAGTGATGGCGTCTCGAGTCCACAGTAGTAGGTCTTAGAGAATAAAATGAATACATTACCTCACTAGGTTCATAGAGAAACCACTGAAACTCCAGTTTTCCCCACGGGAAATGTTACAAGTGAGGTTCCTCTTTTTTACACGCTGTTTGTTGTTGCATATATGTTATAACTTCTCTGCGTGGGACATTTGTAAATTTATAATTTTAGTGTATAGGGGCAGCAGATCATTGTTCAAACATATATTGTTAAATATCAGGTCATCCCATAAGTTCTGCCCGAATTTTGAATAAAGAAAACAAGTGACCAAATGTTACATTTAATTACAAATTCAATCAACAATGTATTTTCCCTGATTATCTATGACTTCCTTCCATCCATTAACAAGCTTACTAATTCCATTACTGTAAAATTCTTTTGGCTTTGATTCGAAGAACTCACAAATGTCAGTTTTAACCTCTTCCTGTGTTACAAAAGCTGTTTCTTCCAAATGATTCTGTAAGCTACAAAACAAATGGTAGTCTGAAGGAGCAAGATCGGGAGAATAAAGTGGATGAGGAATTTTCTCCCAACCAAGTTCTTCGATCATTTGTGACGTGATTCTTGCTGTGTGGGGTCGCGCATTGTCCTGATGAAATATCACCTCTTTTCGATTCACTAGAGCAGGCCTTTTTTTCCTCAAAGCTTGGTTCAAACGCTATAATTGCTGACAGTATATTTGAGCATTAATTGTTGCATTAGGTGGTAAGAATTCACCACCAGATTGAAAGAAGAACCCTTTGCCCATGAAGTTCCCTTCTCGGCTGTGGCTGGGGTCCTTCCCCTTTACCTAGCCACTGTCTATGACGTCTAACATTTCGATAAAAGATCCCTTTTTCGTCGCCAGTCACAAGTCTATCCAAAAAAGGTGAAACAAGTTGGCGAGAATGGAGAGAAGAGCAGATGTCAACTCGGGATTTGAGGTTGTTTTCAGACAATTCATGAGGCACCCATTTTCCAAGTTTAGGAACTTTTCCAAGTTGTTGAAGATGACGATGTTGTATGGTTTGAACTGACAACCACTGACAATTCCTCAACTGATAAAGCAGGATTTTCTTCAAGGGCTGCTTCAAGAAGCTTTTCATCAAACTCAACTGGACGTCCGGTTCGATCTTCATCTTCAAGGGTGAAATCTCCTCCTCTGAATTTTGAAAACCATCTTCTGCAAGTTCTTTCATTCACACATTCCTCTCCATAAACTGAGGGAATGTTTCTAGCCGCTTCGGCTGCTGATTTTCCTTTCTTGAACTCATAAAGCATTATGTGTCTCAAATGATTCTTGGGTACTTCCATGTTAGCAGGGGTTTAATCAAACAAAATTTAATTTTATTGTTCTCTGAAATAAAATTTGATCAGTTTAAATGCATCTAAACATAAAAATAATATTCAGCTCCATTAGACATTATAAAATACTCTTTAAATTTTGTTCATTTTAACAAAAAGTTAAAATTCGGACAGAACTTATGAGATGACCTGATATAACAGACAATGAAAGTCTATCATGTTTCATCATGAGCTTTTCCAAGCGTCATATAATGGCTTCAAAACTGTCCAACCTTTGGATATTTCTTTATTGTATTGGCCGCCGTATATATAATTTTGTGTACGACGTAGCATTATAAAACTCTTTCTGAGAACAAAGCATACTTGTCATTGTTTATTCCTTTCAACTGCTTCGTTCAGTCCATGAAGTATGGTGTTATTATATCACGGTTATTTGTTGGAACTCATGGCAGACGATGTCGATTTTTTATTCAAGATCATTCTTATCCCAGCTATTAATACCTATGTCATCAGCATAACCGCCCTCGTTATCAGTTTATTGGCCTTGAGGTGGGGGGGGGGAGAAGCATCACTGTCTTCTATTAGGGGATTCGTTTGGAATACTGTACTGTACTGATGCGGCATTCACCCTGGGCGGATTGAGCCGGCTTCTTCCTGTTATGAGAAGAAGATTCTTGGGATAAATTACAGAAGTAGGGTACCCAGGCCTACTCGGATAACGTTCTTGCTTGCCGCGGGGTTCCCACAGACGCAGAGACAGGAACGACCAGAAGCCGCCGGTTACCGATGCAGACGCTCCTTGGATTTTCACCAGAGCCCTTGTTAGCCGGCGTGTGTGTCAGACCTGTCCGCCTTGGGTGGCCCTAACACAAACGAAGTTCCGGGCGGCATAGCTCTGACACTACCGTTTACCCCCCCCCCTCACCCCCCACCGACTGTGAGGTAAGGGTTGCTTACGGTCAAATCACGCTGAAACACCGGTTCTCGTTCGATCACCGAAGTTAAGCATCGTAGAGCCAGGTCAGTACTTAGATGGGGGACCGCTTGAGAACACCTGGTACTGTAAGCCCCCAAAGTCCCCCCATTCGTTTGGAATGTGGCATGGATGGTTAAATGATCAGCGCCATCTTCAGAAAAAGAAGAAAAGTGAGGAAAGATGGCAGAATGGTGAAGGAGTAAATGCTCAGATGTAAGTCTGCTTAAAGAGATCAAACGGATTGAAAGAGGACAAAAGAGAGAGAGAGAGAGGGCGTGATTGCAGCCTGATGAGAAGAAATGGATAAGAGAGTCACCCAGAGGTTTGGTGAGTGGGCAGTCACAGAGAGGTTTGGAGAGAAGGAAAGGCACTGAGAAGTTTGTTGTCATAGAGAGGTTTGGAGAGAGGAAAGGCACGGTATGTTTTGTTGAGAGGATAATCATAGAGAGGTTTGGAGAGAGGAAAGACACAGTAAAGTTTGATGAGTGGAGAGTCATAGAGGGATTTGGAGAGATGAAACGCACAGTGAGGTTTGTAGAGAGGATAATCATAGAGAGGTTTAGAGAGAGGAAAGACAGTGAGGTTTGCTGAGTGGGGAGTCATAGAGAGGTTTGGAGAGAGGAAAGGCACAGTGAGGTTTGCTGAGTGGAGAGTCATAGAGAGGTTGACGAGAGAAAATGCAGTGACGTTTTTTGAGAGGCGAATCATAGAAAGTTTTGGAGAAAGGAAAAGCACAGTGAGGTTTTGCTGAGAGGAGAGTTGTAGAGAGGTTTAGAGAGAGGAAAGGCACAGTGAGGTTTGTTGAGAGTAGAAGTATGAGAGAGTTTAGAAAGAGGAGACACACAGAGAGGTCGGAGACCACGAAGACCTTTTAAAATGGGGAAGTCGTTCATTTGGGATGCGACCTGTGCGGATACATTTTCGGCAGCTAATTTGATCAGTTTCGCGGTTGAGCCAGGATCCGTCGCCCGGGATGCAGAGATAAAAAAAATTATTAAATATTTTTACTCCTGTGGCAGTGGAGACTTCAGGGGTTATTGGCCCTCGTTCGATGGCGTTCCTTCAGAGGATTGGCGCGATTGCGTCTCGATTAAGGGACGAGCCTCGCGAAACGGAGTGGCTCTTGCTGCGTGTCTCACTGGCGATGGTTCGAGGTAATGCTTTCTCCATTATTGCGGCTGGCAGAGAATAGAAAAAAAATTGTTTATAGTTACGTTGTTCAAACTTTTTTTTCAGTAAATGAATTTCTCTATATTTCAAAACACTACTTGATTTCAGTGCGAAAGAAAGAAACAAACAAACAAACAAAAGAAAGAAAAGAAGGAAGAAATGAATGAAAGAAATGGAAGATAGAAGTGTTTAGCGGTTGTTTGAGTGAAATAGAAAAAAGTTGTTAATTTTAAATCATTTCATTTGTACCCCCTTACTTCTTAAAATAATGACCAGCATTCATATCTATGAGTGTTATTGCAATATTTTGTGAAAGTTGCTAAGAAATTTCTTGAAATATTTAACGATGCGATAGGTGGAATTTCTACGGATATTTGTAGAACTCGCTATGAGCTTATTCAATCATTAAATTAAGAGTTAAGAATTGAGATTCATCAGAAAATTTAAATAGGAAGAGCGTGATATTTTCAAGGGTTTTTCTAGTGCTAAAATAATTGTTCTTGTCCCTTAAATAGGAAAACCTTTAAATTTTTACGGGTCTTTCTCGTCATATAATAAGTGTCTTTGTTCCTCCTTTGTTATGCCCTGCAAATATCTCTTTCGTTTTGATCCCATGGAAAGAGGGGAAAAGACAGCACTTGGTTTCAGTGAGAAAAAGAAAGCAGGAAAGAAAGAAAGGAAAGATAGAAGTGGGGAGAGACAATCAAATTAAGCTGATAAGAACAGATACTACACTTTGATCTTAACCAAGAGGCCGAGAGGAGAAGGACAAGAACAATTATAATAGGATAATTGTGATTTCAATATTTTGTTAAAGTTGTTAAGATCAAATATTTAATAATGCGATAGGGGGATTTCTACGGATATTTTATTGCTGTAAAACTCACCATGAGCTTATTCAATCATTAACTTAAGAGTTAGGAATTAAAAGTCATCAAAAAATTTAAATAAGAAAAACGTGAAATTTTTACGAGTTTTTCTAGTTTTCAAAAATAGAGGGTAACGGTGTTGAGTGATAAATAAATTCAAAGTCAAATCCTATCTTGCCGAGATACTGGTTCTAATACGATCACCGAAGTTAAGCAACGTCGAAATTGGTCAGTAGCTAGATGGGTGACCGCTTGCGAATACCAGGTGCCGTATGTTTCAAATGTGCGGGCGGTTTAATGGATAAAGACTCGGAACTGGATATCAGAGAACTATGTTCCAATTCCAGTCGGGTTTGTTATATTCATTTACACGCAAATAACCTTCGTAAAAATATGAAACTCCCCCAACTATGGGTTAATTAGTAGGACATGTATCAGTAAATCAGTATCTTCCCCAAAAAATCTTACCTTCTGAAAAGCATATTTCTGGGCTTTAAATAACCTGCAAAAGGTTGATAAGCCGTAAAAACAACAAATCAGTCAAAATCCATAAAGCAAAGATGGCCGATTCTTTAGAAATATCAAGAAGAAAATCGAAGAATGGTCGATGAGAGATGCCTGCACTATTTACATTATACGTACTGTTACCCACATCTTAATTGCCGTATTCACAATGTTTCGGCTCCCGCCTTCTACAGGTTATTAGAATTTCGAACCGAGCCCTTTATTTGTTGTTTGATAGAGTGTTCTAGTTCCACGTGCCATACCTCTTCCGAAACGAAACTCTGCAAGTTTTGGTTCACTACTGCTGTATTGAACTCACAACTCTAGGCACTGGATCCTACCAACGTCTTTATTCACTGGGCTATGTGTCCTTGAGGAGATTTGTGAATTAATTTTTGGGACTTATAAACGTAATGTCTCAGCGATTGATTTTTAGCAGTGCTTATATTGCAATAATAATACAAAAAAATTGTAATATGAGCACTGGTAAAAAGAGGTTGCTGATACATTAGGTTTATAAATATGTATCCATGACGACTGGTTTTTAAAAGCAATGTGGTTAGGGCGAATTGCAAATCGGAGATACCAAAAATCCAACAAGTGCGAAAATTTAAATATCTGGGAAGTGTTTTGACAGAGGACAGAAAGTATGACACTGAAATCAGAAGGTGTATTGGGAGAGCGAAAGATACCTTCCAAAAGCTAAGCAATGTATTAAGAAATAGAAAAAGATTGCAAGAAACAAGAAAAAGAGTACTGGTATGTGATATCTGACCTCCTGTATGGCAGTGAGTGCTGAACGATCTCCTCCAAGATGAAGAGGAGATTTGAGGCAACAGACATATGGTTCTACAGAAGGCTGCTGAGGATACTGTGGACTGAACATGTGAGCAACGACGTAGTTCTGGAAAAAATGGAAAACAAAAATGAAACTAATATTTAACAGCAGGAAGAGAGAGATGAAAATTTTGAGGCACAATACGAGGAAAGAGGGCTTGGAAAATCTGATACTCACAGGACAGATTGAAGGTAAGAGGGACAAAGGAAAACGGCGCATAACCTAGCTAACGAGTTTGATTAAATGGATGGTGGGACAGGCCTTAGGAGAAGTAAGAGAAAAACAATGTTTATTAAGAACTACAAGAGACAGGAAGTTGTGGTGAGCCATGATCGTCTACGTCCTGAGGGGATACAGCATATAAAGAAGGTTACTTTAAATGAAACGACAGAAATGGTAACTTGTTTATACATTTTCTACAAGATTAGAGGATTATCCTCTGTTTCCTGTTTCGGGTTGGGTTCCGGTGTTTTCTAAAGTTTTTTCGTTCTTTTTCAATCCCAGCAGCCCATTTCATCTTAGTGACAGTATCGCCTTGCCTGGAATGAACTAATCTTTAAAATATACAGACTGATTGAAAAGTAACTACATATTTTACGTATGAGTGGCTACACAGGATTCCTGACTTAACACCCTGTCATTTTTTTTTTAGGGCTGGTTAAAGAAGGAAGTCCATTATACCAAACCAAGTCTTTAGAAAGAACTTGAAGGGCGAATATAAGATGTTATGGTTATTTTCTAAGTGTAGCTTAGATGTGGCACAAGGCTGAATGTATGGAGCACCTAGTGAGGGTCGAACTCACTTTTCAATCGTAACTGATCTAGCTAGACATGCCTGCTAGCCATTACACCACTCCGAGGCGCCCCTGATTTTCCAAGCATTGTTTAGATGTGGCACAAGGCCGAAAGTAGGGGGAACCCTGTGAGGATCGAACTCACTACTCAGTCGTAATTGTTCTAGCGAGACAAGCTTGCTAACCATTACACCGCTTCGAGGTGTCCCAATACAAGATGTTATGTCTTCCATCCCACAAGAGTTCCTGCTGAAATCTGTTGACGCGATTGCTGGGGGGGATCGAGAAGCTGGTAATAAAATCTGGTGCCCATATCGAATTTTAAATAAAACCTCATGCTAAAAGCTTTCCTCTCGTATCCATTTCTTGTCAAAATTTTAAGGAAGAAATAAATTACAAGTATTTTAAAATGGTGAGTTACTTTTCAATCACGCTGTATTTTTTTTAAGCGTTTCACCCCAAGCAAGGCGAGAAGCCACTAGGACGCAAGGGGTTACAGAAAATTTGGAGCAAGATCAGATAGGAGTGATAGAAGAAAGGATGAGGAGAAGGGTAGTGGATAGATCAAGGCGACTGGAGATGTCGATTGACATTACATTTGAATAGCTGGAGATTATAGCTCTCAGGGAAACTGGAATAGGAAAGGGAGTTCCACAGGCGAGAAGTGCGAGACATGAAGCTATTGGAGTAGAAGAGACGGCTACATTTAGTAGTTTCGATAGTGAAGGGGTGAGAGCGGGATGCCAGCCTCGTAGGGCGCTTGAACTCATGAAATCTGGGAACCAGCGAATGCAGCTCCTCGGAGCAATTGCCATGAAAGTATTTGTGTATATATAGATATAGGAAAATGTTTTTAACTCGGTGAGAGACGCTTCGAATGAAATTAAATGTTTCTTCAGGAAAGCAAGCACATCTAAGAAAAATGAAGTGACAAGAGGAGTAGGTACGGAAGGGGGTAAATGGAAATGGAGAAATGACTGATTGTTTAAAATGACGTTTATAATTCAGAACAAAATCTTGAGTTAAAAATAGACGCTTTGAATGATTTGCCTTTTAAAAAGAGAACAAAATATTTATAGGAAAGGCGCCAAGAACAAACGTAATCGATTAGTTATAACGATCAAAATGGCCGATGATTTAAAAGATCAAGAAAAAAAGACTCCCGCTCGGATATGTTTTCCCAATCACAACAATCTTGACCTATTCAAGTCTAGCGTTAACCCTAATCTTTCCTGTATAACTCTACGACCTTCACCTCTTGAATTTTATCACGCTCATCCAACACAGTAACCCTCGACCTTGAGTGGCTATTGGGTTTTGGATTGGGTGAACGTAGTGATATGTAAATGACTGTCTAATTAGTATAGCAAAGACAGTCTGTATAAATGCCCAAAGCAATAACGGTAGAGCGACTCTCGGTATGTGAATATCGTGTGGTAGCCAACAGAGGGGGTCGCTCTTTTGCCAAGAATCTTCGCTCAAACCCGAAGGCTCTATCCACCCAAACAATACCTCTCCTTCGAGAGGGGGTTGGATTTACTGACTGGCGCCTGAAGCATCCCCAAAAGAGGAAGCGCCAAGAGAGTTTGGGCAATACTTCTACAGTATTGACGTTAAACCCACTTTAAACCACGGCCTTGTGCCACGTTTGGTAGCGACGTAGGCGCGCTAAAAAATACCTTCGATAAACGAGTATCGCGTGCTGATCGGCAGAGAGGTTCGCTCCTTTACCAATAATATAAGCAAAAGTCCTATGTCATGCCTCTAGAAAGTACCTCTTACTTGAGGGGGGCCGAATTTATTGCAAAGCGAATGAGGTGTCCCCAAAAGGGGAAGTGCCGATGGGGCTTGGGCAATTTCTCTGTGGTACTGCCTGGAACCCACTTTTAAATGACCTTGTGCCACATTTAGTAGCGATGTGGGCGCACTGAAAGATCAAGCTATTGGTATGCGAATATAGTGTGCTGGCCGGCAGAAGGGTTTCGCTCCTCTGCCAATAATATCATACAAGTCCAAGGTAGGGCGGCTACCTCCAGGCAGTAACTTTACTTCGGTAGGGGGTGCAGGTCTATTGCACGTCACTTGAAGCGTACCCAAAATGCAGAGTGCCGGGGACGGCTTGCGATTTTTTTTCTGTGGTACTGCCAATAACCTCACTTTAAAATGACTTTGTGGCACATGTCCTTGCGTCGTGGGGGCATGCGGCTAAATATACCAGGATGAGAGATAAACACTGGATTGATAAAACACGAAACCGTACATGGCCATAAATATTTAAAAAAAAAACCCTGGGCAACAAAACAGGTCTCCGTCTGAGAGGGATTAGTAAAAATTTTAAACGAAATTATGTTTAAGAACTAAAACGACTTGAAGAAAAGAAAGCAACAAATGTAGACTGGTGGGAGGTAAACAGACTCGACGCTATGGAACAAAGACTGTTGATTGATTAAAATGATCAAGTAGAACGCAGAAAAATATGGAATAAAGATTTTTGATTGGTTAAAAAGATCAAGTAGAACGCAGACAAATATGGAATAAAAATTGTTGATTGGTTAAAAAATCAGGAAGAAAGCAGACAAATATGGAATAAAGATTTTTCATTGGTTAAAAAGATCAAGAAGAAAGCAGACAAATATGGAATAATGATTTTTGATTGGTTAAAAAGATCAAGTAGAACGGAGACAAATGCATGTAGGTTGGTGAGAAATGCTTCAAATAAAATATTCTTTAAAGAAAAGAAAACTGCTGCAGAAAATAGAAAGTGACATTGTTTTTGTTTTTTGCTTCGTTGTGCAATCGGACGTGTAGAAATAGCAAATCCTTTAAAAAGATGAAGAATTATATCGGACAATATTTTTAGATCAACGAGTGATGTTTTAAATATAAGTTCTTTCAAGAAAGAAAGGTGTGAAAGCAAGTTTGAATAGCAAGTGCAAAAATGGACGCTGGTTGAAAATGCCGTGATTAATTCAGAAGAAAAGTTTACGTTAGTGAAAAATACTTTTAATGAAATGTTTTTAAAAGATATAAAAAAAAATTAAACATATTTCAATAAGGAAAACATTGAAGAACATGGCGGCTTGTTTGGACGGAGATAAATGAAAAAAAATGTGAGAGTAAAAAAAAAAATAACCGATT